ATTTTTGCCAGCATTTTCACCATAGTTACGGCACCAGGATTGCGTCAGCTGTTTTTTTGTCAGTGTTCTCAAACTTTTCTCTTCATCGTGGTCTTTCTCTTTTCGTTGTAGTTTCCCACCCGCCCTCCCCTTTATTCTCACTTCTGGAGAGGTCCTGCAGGCTACGTTTTGTTTATTTATCTTATAAGGGGTTATGCTAACCGGTTTTTCCTCAGGGTTGTGCCTCCGCCGGGGTCCTGAGGTTTTTTCCGCCAGCTTCGGGCTGGTTAATTATCCGGCGGTCCCATTCACCACAGTGGTTCACTTTTTGCATCATGTTGGTCTGGTACATATGTGTACATGTATATGTGTGAGGTGGCATGCCCTTCTTCTTGCTCATGTATACACTACGCTAAGCTCTTTCATCTTCCACCGTCGTGAGTGAACAAAGACCACACTACTACTGTGATCTGGGTCTTTCTGTTGTGTGTGGGTGTGTCTGCGGTGTACGCAGAGGCCAGCTAGCAGGCAAAACGTGATAATAATAACGACTTTCTCAGTGTGATGGGATTTTACCCACACTATTCAACCAGAACGAGACAAATAAACGAAACAAATGTGCAGTGCGGGATTGCTACATTTTCATTAAGAACTGACATATTGGAAGTGTGAATGCCTGGTTCGGTTGGTTCATGCCAAAGGTGTGTGTGGTCATGGCAAAAGGCTGGCTTGGATGAGATGTACTTTCCGTTTCATTCTCTTTCAATTGAATAATTTTAAAAAAATGTCACAGTGAAAATATCACCATGTTAGGGGTAGGTTTCGATTATCGGGAAAGTATAGTTTAAAGGGGCACTCCGGCTTCATTTTCGACGCCGAGTTTTCGATGCCAAGACGAAGGTTGGTGAAAGAGAAGACCCCTCGAACAAGAACGAGTCTCCAGAAGCGATCGAGTCGAGCAGGAAGACGACTTTTCAATTTCGGCCGAGCGAGCGCTGATGACGTAATGAGGGATTAGCTTGCCAGTGGAAATGCATCTGCGCACATACATTTCACACACTTTTTGGCCAATTTTCAATCGAAGAAGAGGTTGTTTGCTATGTTCTCCCAACGCCGTGAGCGATCCCGTCTTCTATACCCTTCCAGGTACCCTGAAGGTCCTCCAGAGGAGAATTTATCTCCATCAAAGCGTTGTTGATCCGCTAAATTCGTCTCGAGACATATTCACCCAGTGCAGTGCTGATAAATGTAGAATGTTGAATCTGTGATAATTGTCGACGATGGACAGAAAGGTTGATAGCCGCTATCGCAGGGAAAGTGAAGCTGCTGGAAGTAACAACGGGGAGCTTGTTAGCATCACTTGATCAAAGCAGCTAGACGGCATCTGACTATTTGTCTCGCCCTCAGTTTAGTGAATTTTATGATCAGAACATTTTTCGATCAGGATCCCTTCTACAAGATGTGTAGTACAGGTGATTTCTGAACTTGACGATATGGAGACCGACCAGTATACCTACCAACAACGTGTACCTGCAGGAAATTCACCCAAGGCTATTGCTAATGCTATCCTCTTCAGGGCTGTTGTTTTTTTAGTAAAAATATGTTCACTTCTCTCAACATACTCCTGCATGGCAGCAAGAGGGTGCGCTATGGAATTCAATGCCACAATCTTCGCCCAGCTGTGGATGAAGCATGGTCAAGTCATGGCAGTACATATACTGGAACCAGATGAGAAATTGAAGTTCATTTGTGATGCGAAGTTTGACAGTCCCAGTGACCGAGTCAAGCGTTGTCTTTTGCCGTGGCACAAATTGCTGAAGAATCCGAGATGGTCGTGGAATTATGCACATGGATACTACCAGAAATAATGGTGGCATGAACCATTGTGGAATGGGACAGCTCACGGAGAATACTGGAATAGCTCAAGTATCTCTAGGCGATTGTAAATCCTGTTCTGGCTGATAGCTTCGGCCTGCTGCGCCCGTCCATGTACAATGATGGGAACATGCATTTCTGTTTTCTACACTAGTATTTGCTATCTACTGTACTGTGGTATTACAGTTGCAGGTCCCTTACCGTAATGTCGCGTGCATAAGCCGGATTTGTGCATAAGCCTGTCTCGTGTAGAAGCATGAAATCTGCAACAGCTTTTCGCGTACAAGCCTGTCGCATGCATAAGCCGGGCCAGTACACGAGACGCGCCACGTGTCGCGTGCGTAAGCCGGGCTACTACGCAAGACTGGTGAGCGCGCCTTTTACATGTTCATGTTTGCATGGTACCGTACACTTGCGAAAAAAAAGAAAAAAAATCCCGTTGGAAAATGTTGGTTTTGACGTCCAAAAGTCAGCAGTTTGCGCATACAAGCCTGGTCATTGAGTGGTGCTTGTCATATAAGCCTGTCTCGTGTATAAGCCTGTCTTGTGTACAAGCCTGACTCCATCACCGGCTTATAGGCATATAAGCCCCGGCTAATGCACGCGACATTACAGTATATAGAAATATGTTCAACCCCCCCCCCCCCCCCACACACACATAAATATGAACTAACAATTTCACTGTTGGACTCGCCGGCGGCTAGAGAGCAAAGGATTAATTTATAGCAAAGAAAAGGACCAGGGAACTACAAGTTATGCCATAATGTCCACGAACAATTTCACTGTATTTGAAATAATTTTGTTTGATACCCTGAGAACTCTGAAACTTTGCAGCACTGTGGATTATATGTGGATACAACATTTATGGAAGGAACACATAGTTCAAATAATTATAGCACTGAATTGTTGAGATTGTGAGCACATTCCAATCAGTACTCTACATATTTATAAGCGGTGGCTATCGTTAGGAATAGGTCGTGAGTTGTCAGAGTGCTCTAGTATATGAGAGAATGTTTTGTTTGTCTAATCGACGGCTCGTTTGAAGCCAGAGTTGTTTGAACTTGTTTCAGTCGACTTGATTCTAGACAGTAGTCGAAGGAGTACTATGAAGTATACACCAGGCGTAGTCCGTAAGGTATCTCGTGAGAATTCTGTCGGTACACATCGGGTATCAGCTTGCAAAGATGGCTCCTCTCTGTTTCTTGAAAGCCTGTATAGTTGGACTGTGGCTCCAGCGATTCCCTTCTCAGAGCAGGTACCCAATACGGTCAATGCATATTGGACAGGCCTGTGTGCACAACAGAAATAGTGGAGAGAAATCTCTCAGCTCATGAACACATCAGTGAAGTTTAAACTGCCGTTGTTTGTGGCCATCAGTATAAACCTATCGACTACAGTCAAATCTGTCGTAAGCGACCGCCCCTTGGTGCAAGAAAAAGCGGTCGCTTACGGCAGATGGTCTCTTACGGCAGATGTATGGTAAATCCGGCATACCAGGTATATGCTTCCATGTACTCCAATCGACGAGAATAATGTGATTTTAATAATATTAAAAATCACATTATTTTATTGGATATTCAACGACGACCATACCCGTATAGTACGCGTATGCGACACGGCAGTAGATCGACACTGCCTGGACTTGAGACTGAGAGCTACAGCACAGCCTCAGTACAGGCCAGGCGCCAGTCGATCGCACTTGCAAGACAGCGCATTTTCACACTTTGCAGTTGACAGCACACTGGCAAGTACAGTTTCGCACCTTACTGAACCTGGGTCGCGGTCGCTTACAGCAGATTCGAATGCAGCCACCGTGCATGAAATCGCGGTCGCTGGTCGCGCACAGCAGATGGTCGCTCTGGACAGATCAGTTTGTATGTGAAACCGTCGGTGCACGGAAAATCGGTCGCTAACGGTAGATGGTCGCCTACAGCAGAGGTCGCTAACGGCAGATTTGACTGTATAAGAATAATGTGCAAAAAAAACCTCTATAACTACAGCTGGGGCCATGGAATTATAAAGCATCTAACTTAGGGAACTGCCAATTCTGGTCGGAGTTGCGTTCGAGGCCTGCAATTCATGATGGCTATCGTATGTTGCATTGACCAGAGATCATATAAAACGTCCATGCCACATTGAAACACGCACTACTTTCGAGTACTTTGGTATCCCCCACCAAATGGGCATTCGTTCCCGGGGTGGCAGGCGTCACCCTTCGCTATGCCTGGATCAGATTTCATTGACCCCAACTGTCATGAAGAATCATTTTTACTTTGACTGGATTTCAGTATTGTAGAACTGCAGAATAAATTTTGTTGTATTTGGGCAACCATTTCTCTACAAACGCTCTATTCGGAAAATAATTTTTTTAATAAAATACATGTCCAAATTCCACATCTACCCAAATCGGAATACTTGATCACGTATTCAGTCCTACACGGAATGTTTAGAAAACGCCAGGGAATAGGAATTTGCTAACGAGAACTCCAGGCCAGGGTACTAGCATACGGACAAAACAAGATAAAAACTCACCAGTATATTTGTAGTAATTCATGTCGGTGTAATATTCACGATAAGCAACGAGGCACCCTCCGATTTGGTCAAGCTGCTTTGAAGTCTGGTTGTTCAGGTGATACAAACGGGCTCCCCGTTGTTACTTCCAGCAGCTTCACTCTCCCTGCGACAGCGGCTATCAGCCTCTCTCTCCATCGTCGACAATTATCACAGATTCAACATTCTACATTTATCAGCACTGCACTGGGTGAATATGTCTCGAGACGAATTTAGCGGATCAACAACGCTTTGATGGAGATAAATTCTCCTCTGGAGGACCTTCAGGGTACCTGGAAGGGTATAGAAGACGGGATCGCTCACGGCGTTGGGAGAACATAGCAAACAACCTCTTCTTCGATTGAAAATTGGCCAAAAAGTGTGTGAAATGTATGTGCGCAGATGCATTTCCACTGGCAAGCTAATCCCTCATTACGTCATCAGCGCTCGCTCGGCCGAAATTGAAAAGTCGTCTTCCTGCTCGACTCGATCGCTTCTGGAGACTCGTTCTTGTTCGAGGGGTCTTCTCTTTCACCTACCTTTGTCTTGGCATCGAAAACTCGGCGTCGAAAATGAAGCCGGAGTGCCCCTTTAAAGGGAAGAACGCATGGCTCCGGCAAAATTATCGGACAGGTAGTCAAGTCCCGGCTTATCAAAGACGCATAGTGTTGAGACCTACTTCTGCCCAGGTGTCACCTGGTGCACAATATACGTATAGGATGATTCGTACATCGGCTCGCCATCCTCCTCTTCATGACGACTTTCTGGAATGGCAGAGTGATTGGGGGAGGTAATGTAACGCTCCGGCCCTGTGGCGTCGTGGCCATTGGGCGAGCTCTCCTGGCATATTGCAGGCGTCCTTAGGCATATTCCACTCTCCGGTGACACCATGGAGCCGCGCCGGCCGCCGCATACACTGCCTTCGCTGCCGAAGCCACTGTCCTCCTTAGGCGTTGTAGCGGGCTTAGCAACTGTGAGCTCAGCTCCCACGATACCTTGATACTGGCAGAAAGCTGCCACAGGCACAGGAGACACATCTGGAGCGGACCAAAATACCAGGCAAGAACATTGAATGCTGGTTAAAGCAAGCTTGAAGGTTAGGCTAAAGGCTCCCTTAGTGCGAAACTCGAAAAGCAACCAATCACTGTCTGATGGTCGTCCATGCATGATACTTGGAGTCCTAGCAGCTCTTTATATCACCATACAAATTGAATGTTTTGAATGTTTCGTCCAAGTGAATCAAGAATATGCCGAATCCATAGCTTCACTTCGCAATGGACATAATGAGTACTTGTACTTGCAAATGTGTACTTGTTGTTGCGGCCGACCTCTGCTCAAGGAGCTGTATTGTACATAACCATTGACACGTTACATAGTGACATCCTTGCAATCAGCTCTCGCCGTATGATTGGATTCGATTGATTTTACTTCAAAGTATTTATAGTCAAAGAGAAGTGGTGAGAACACATGCTCATTCCCGGCTGGGCACTGCAAACGTCACAACTCAGTTCACAGCATCTTTGTTTTCGACGTTTCGGCAGATTGCCATCATCAGGATGCAATATTTTGTGACTTTTGCAGTGCCCAGGGAAAGAGCATGTGTGCTCATCACTTCTCTTTGAGTTATGAAGCTGCAGGATGCCTCACACCTTCTACATTTACTTGTAGTGGTGCCTATCATGGATAGGCACGTCGTGGCCGTGGCCGTCGTGAGTTCCCTTCGGGAACGGATACGATAATTTACTTTTTTTAATTTTTTATCATGGATATCTGACTAATAGCCTTTCTGATTTCTAATGTGCTTTACTTTATTCAGCTTGGCTCAGCATTAAGTAAAAAATGCATTAAATTGAATTCTTTAGCACAAACACAACCTGGCGGCATATCAGAACTCACCGCCCCCAGCCACTAGCGCTCTATAACCATTGTCCACTAGCAGACTGACCATTTTCTGGCCGATTTCGCTGTCTCTGCGCTCGGCGCATTTTCTTTTGTAGTTCTTCAGCATTTTGTAGATGGTATCAGCGTAGCATTGACCGCGTTCTGCGCCCTTCATGTCGGCAATCATCTCCGCGGGGCACTCCAGCCTCAAGGCCAAGCCCTCCAGTTGGTAAACTGATTTGAACACCTGGTCGATGTTACACGTCGTGACGTTGTGCGCAATATCGGCTATGACGATGTCCACCTGCCGCAGATCTGCATCTAACAAAAGAGCAAAACACAATCGGATTTGCGGCGTCAAACACGAGAGGTGCAAAATGGGACAAATTAATCTATCTTGGCTTGTCAATGCACCGAAGCCGAGCAACATGAATTCTAAGTTAGTTTGAGAATTTTCATTCCGAAATCCTGGCCTGCCGCACAGGCAACCTGTTTTGGACCACCATTGCGGTTGTCCGATTTTGGCGAATAAACGTGAAGCTCACAGCTGCAACCTAGCGTCCTCTCTCTATGCTTTGCAGATCCCGGATGATACATGCATGTGTATCATGTATTCGGGATAATAATAACTTTATTCCCGTAGCTATGCAGAAGACGTTACTTCAGTAACGTCTGGCGCTAGCCAGGGTCCACACAGCTTTAATTTGGTGTTTGTTTGTTTGTTTGTTTGTTTGTTTGTGTCACGCTTGGCGCTATCCCGTTTCTGTCCCGTACCGTACCGTACCAGCACAGACAGCTGGCCACAATGTTATTTGTTTGTTTGTGCCATCAGCATGCCCGGCGCTATCCCATACCTGTCCCATACCATCAAGAGTATGGTACCATCAAGAGAATGAGTATATATGCGAAGTGTATGGGGGAATGCATTCGGGCCGATAGCGCAGTAGCATTTTGTGTGGATTTGTGTGCGAGGCCGAGATCCCACTGGCAGGCTGGCTGGGCCGCCTGTCGACCAGCCCGGGATTCCCATGTAGGCCGATAGCATAATAATTATATCGGTGATGTATAGCAGGGATTCGTATTATGTAAACCACTTCCTGCTGTATAGGGAGATTTTCTGGAAAGAAATACGAAGTAGGGAGACGAGGAAATGCTATTAGAATGGACGTTAATAATAATAATAATAATGACAGTTCGCATTTCACTCATTGCATGAGGTCAACGCATCTGTTAACAATTTCGAGCCAAGCAGCTCTATCAGAAGCAGATTGCACAGCATCCAGAAGCGACAGATTAATGCATTGTAAGTCTTTCTTGACAACGTCGATCCATCTCAGACGGGGTCGTCCTCGGGGTCGTCGTATGTCTGTTGTGTTGATTGACATTAGGAGGGCTTGGAAAGAGGACGATTCTTCGCCTTCCCTCACTACATGGCCGAACCACAGCAGTCTCCGTTGCCTGCAGACTTGGGATAGTGGGGTCTGCTCGGTTCTGGCATACAGCGCTGTGTTCGAGATTCGTTGTGGGTACGTGATACCAATGATGGTACGTAGTTTCTTCCGGTGCCATACATTGACGACGTCGGTTAATGTTTGCGATAAGGTCCAAAGCGCACAGTTATACAGTAAGACAGGCAATATCAGGCAGGAAAACATACACAGCCTGGAATTCAGGTTGTGGCGTTTCCATGGAATGCTTGCAAATGCCCGATTTGCAGCAGACACTCTGGCTGCTATGTCTTCTGCTGTGCCTAGCATACTCCCCAGCAGCTTCACCGATTTCCAGGAATCATCTTCCTTGGTCACAGTAAAATATTGAGTTTTTGCCACGTTCAGCTTCAGATTGTCATCCGAGAAAACGGGTTCACACACACGGACGGTTTCTTCCACAGATGATCGCTCGTTCTGATGGGCAGTGGTGTCGTCTGCGTATTGTGTGAAAGTTGCTGGTAGGTCTGACGCGGGTAGAGCTTGCTCTCGGATCTTACGCATGGAACCTTCGGCGTAAGTTATAAACATTATTGGTGACATTGGGTCACCCTGGACGACGCCGATGTTCGTTGGAAATGGTTTGCTTAGTTGTTTACCAAGCTTCGTGCGGGCTGTTGTGTTTGATACTAGGACTGCAGTGGTGGACGTTGGTGCGCCAGCAGTGGCTAACCTCTCCAGAGCAACCTGACGAATGACAGTGTCAAACGCACCGCTGAAGTCCAATAGTGCCGATGAATATGACCAGTCGCCAAGTAGTGCGCGCTCACACATCGTCCTGGCGTAAAAGACACCATCCGTGGTCGATCTGCCAGGGCGGAAACCAGCTTGGCTCTCTGCCACATATGACTGCACATGGAGTGTGTGTCGTCGGGTGAGTATTGACGTCAAGATCTTACGGACGACAGAAAGGAGCATAACGGGGCGGTAGCTTTTTGGATGTCCTAGAGGCTTGCCGGCTTTGTAGATGGGAACGATGAGGCCGCAGCGCATGTCGTCAGGACAGTACTCTGTAGCTTGAACAGCGTTGAAGAAATTCGTCAGCCAGGGTGCGAGGTTTTTAGCTGACTTCAAAGCATCAGCACTGATACCATCAGGACCGACAGCACCACCAGACTTCTGCTTGATAATTGCAGACCGTTGATAATGGACGTTAGTTGCCGAATAAAAGACAGGATGCGTCAGCAAAAACATACTTTGGAAGAGAGATCCCGTCATCTCCAAAATAATCCTGAACGGGCGAGTCAGCGCCGGTCACAGGAAACCGGCGTCGGAAGAGAGATCCCGTCGACTCCAGAACGTTCGTGATCGGCAGAGTCAGCGCCGGTCACTAGGGGTGTGCGAATAATGCTCGAAAAGGTGGCAGATTCTGCTCGAAAAGCAGTGAAATTGGCAGAACCATACAAACCTTATGGCGGGCAATTCCTCGAATTCTGCTCAATTTCTTTATCCACATACCAAACATGCATGAAACTAATAATTACTTACCAGAAAAGTACCGAATTCTGCCAATTTTTCTGCCGGAATTATCCGCATATGCCTACCGGTCACAGGAAACGTCAGGACGGACATCCCGTCGACTCCAGAACGCTAGCCAGGGCCATCACAGCTTTGACACGTTACATGCATGATGAGCAAGCAAAAAAGCATAGCGTAGGGCCCTGAGCTTCCAAGCTCTCTCGTTCCCGTAGCTATGCAGAAGACGTTAGTTCAGTAACGTCTGGCGCTAGCCAGGGTCCACACAGCTTTAATTCCCGTAGCTATGCAGAAGACGTTACTTCAGTAACGTCTGGCGCTAGCCAGGGTCCACACAGCTTTAATTTGGTGTTTGTTTGTTTGTTTGTTTGTTTGTGTCACGCCTGGCGCTATCCTGTATCTTTCCCGTACCGTACCGTACCAACAAAGACAGCTGGCCACAATATTTTTGTTTGTTTGTGCCATCGGCATGCCTGGCGCTATCCCGTACCTGTCCCGTACCATCAAGTGTACGGTACCATCAAGAGAATGAGTATATATGCGAAGTGTATTGGGGAATGCATTCAGTGCAGTAACATTTTGTGTGGATTTGTGTGCGAGGCCGAGATCCCACTAGCAGGCTGGCTGGGCCGCCTGTCGAACAGCCCGGGAATCGCATGTAGGCCGATAGCATAATAATTATAACGTGTATACAGTCATGTAGATGTATAGCAGGGAGTCATATTATGTAAACGACTCCCTGCTGTATGCGGGGGAGATTTTCTGGAAAGAAATACGAAGTAGGGAGACGAGTAAATGCAATTAGAATGGATGTTAGTTGCCGTCAGTATAATATTAATAAGAAGACGAACGCCCATGATCGGCAGAGTCAGCGCCGGTCCCAGGAAACGGCAGGACAGACATCCCGTCGACTCCAGAACGCCCGTGATCGGCAGAGTCAGCGCCGGTCCCATAGCTATGCAGAAGACGTTACTTCAGTAACTCATTGAAACGTTTTTGCAATACAATGATGTAGCTAATCAAAGGAAAAAAACTTTTCCATCAGTTCTAACAACATGCACGATGAGCTAGGCAACAAAGCATAGCGCAGGGCCCTGAGCTTCCAAGCTCTCTCGTTTGGTGTTTGTTTGTTTGTGGCGGACGGACCTCCGTCTGGCGCTATCCCGTATCTGTCCCGTACCGTACCACACACTCCTGCCACCATGCTGGCCCTCTGCCTGGACGTGATCTAAAAGTTCTTGCGCCTCACTGACAGGCTTTTCAGGCCGGAAAAACTCAAAATTCCGGCATAGTGCCACGGTGTGCGAGCCACCCAGGAGCCAAAAAATGCATTTACAATTTTTCACATTTTCTTTCCCATTCTGTCCGTGCGTGGGATCCAAACCTAAAAAATGTCCAGAAGCAGCCATGGGTGGTGGGATAGGGGCCATCATAGGGCCCCTCAACGTGGCCTTGGAATCTGTCACAACGGCAGGAGTGGGCGTTCTCTCACACACTCCCACAGACCCAAGTCAATTTTTGAATTTTTTTAGGTTTAGGGCGTGCTACGAGGTCGTACCTTTGATACAACATCCAGTGCTGGGACCTCCACAGCAAGCCATTTCCACAGCGCTGCAAATCAAATCCAGGATACCCTCAAAATCGGCAAAGAGTACCACTCACGTTCCACTAGTTCCTAGTACTGAATCCTACCTGACTTCTTCACACGACTCAAACTTGCCAAAGTCACTAGGGAGGTTCTGCTATACGTGAAACGCAGAGAAATCACGCAGAGAGCAGGTGTCTGGGTTAGAGTGTACGGCTTCGCGTGTTTTGGCTCCAGATTTCTACGCGGAGATGGGGTTCTCTATATTGTGGCACACGCAGAGAAAATGCGTACGGATTTGCTGGGTATCGATCAACTGCATGCAGAAAACTGCCAAATATGGAAGGGGAAATTCCCAGTACACATTCCACGTGACTTCTCTAGGTGAAACGTAGAGCAGAACAGCATTTCTTTACGTTACGGGAACGCGAAGAAAGTTCGCGTGATTCTTTGCGTCGCGTCGCGTTCCCAAAACGTAGAGCAGAACCTCCCAACTACCGTAGAATTCCGCGGATAAGCCCACCCGCGTATACTATAAGCCCATGCCCGCGCATAAGCCCAGGGTTTGTTCGAACATCACAAAGCTTCATCGTACAAGCCCAAGGGCTTAGGTCTTACCGAGAGTCCATAAATTATGGACTCCATACCATGTACGTAGTACAATGCACATTAGTTTTTTTTGGTACATTTCAGCACAATCATCGGTTGTTTTTGTTTGCACAGTGGTTTTCAGCAATGTACTTCTCACTTCCTTGATACTTTTCAACAGCACAACTTGGTGTCGGCGTATAAGCCCATGTTCTCGTATAAGCCCACTGAAATGTCCTTGTGAAACAGATGTCTATGGGCTTATCCGCGGGATTCTACGGTAAATCAACGTCAATTACAATAATCAAGCCACATATCTGCAACGTCACGAGGGTGCTGGCAAAAGTCCTGCTGCACGGCGGCGGGCTCACCCGCCGCCGTGCTAAATAATACGTGGCTAAAAAACGTGATTTTGGACTTGGAGCAAAATTCTGCACACTTTCGCGTGTTTCCATCATACGACAAGTTGCGCACGGTCTGCTCACATTCAAATAAAGTGCTGCCAAGAAATGACAGCGTGCAACAAAAATATCTTTCCTTGCAAGGGCACATTTTCGGCCATAACTCTTGAACGGCTGGTCAGATCGAGACAAAATTTCAGAGATTTTGTAGCTATTCATGCTCTTTCAACTGATGTAGCACTCGATATGAATTTACAAATTCGATTTTTCAGGGATTACTGGTAGCAGCCTGGTCGTAAATTTCATCTGGCATTCCGTAACTTTGGTGTCTCTCAATGGATTTTAGTGAAATTCTCACCACACACTCGTGCCACTATGCTGGCCCTTTGGACATGATTTAAAAGTTTTTGCGCCTCACTGACAGGCTTTCCAGGCCGGAAAAACTCAAAATTCCGGCATAGTGCCACGGTGTGCGAGCCACCCAGGAGCCAAAAATATGCATTTACAACTTTTCACATTTTCTTGCCCATTCTGTCCGTGCGCGGGATCCAAACCTAAAAAAGTCCAGAAGCAGCCATGGGTGGTGGGATAGAGCCCTTCAACGTGGCCCTGGAATCTGTCACAACGGCAGGAGTGGGCGTTCTCTCACACACACACTCCCACAGACCCAAGTCAATTTTTCAATTTTTTTAGGTTCATCACATGCTATGAGGTCGAACCTTTGATACTACATCCAGTGCTGGGACCTCAACAGCAAGCCATTTCCACAGCCCTTCAAACCGAATCCAGGATACCCTCCAAAATCGGCAAAGACTACCACTCACGTTCCACTACTAGTGCCTAGTACTGATTCCTACCTGACTTCTTCACACGACTCAAACTTGCCAAAGTCACTCAATCAACGTCAACTACAATAATCAAGCCAGATAACATAATTATCTGCAACGTCACGAGGGTGCTGGCAAAACACATGCCGCTGTGCAGCCCAATACATGGCTAAAAAACGTGATTTTGAACTTGGAGCAAAATTCTACACCCTTTCGCGTGTTTCCATGATACGACAAGTTGCGCACGGTCTGCTCACATTCAAATACAGTGCTGCCAACAAATGACAGCGTGCAACAAAAAAATCTTTCCTTGCAAGGGCACATTTTCGGCCATAACTCTTGAACGGCTAGCGTCTGGTCAGATCGAGACAAAATTTTCAGAGATTTTGCAGCTGTTCATGCTCTTTCAACTGATGTAGCACTCGATATGAATTTACAATTTCCATTTTTCAGGGATTTTACGACCAGGCTGTCACCTTAACTTAAGTCACAAAACACCAAACCTGCATGTACATGTACATGCCTTAGCAGTTCTTACAGTACATGTACATGTACGTACCCATGATTGTTTATTGCGATGACTCCGGAGTAGCCCTTTCCCAAAGATGATCGCCACTTTTTTCGCAACTTTTTGTTGTTTTGGAAGAAATCGCAACTTTCTTCATTTTCACAAACTACTTCGCAACCTTTCCGCAACTGTTTGCAGAGAAGCACATTGGAGGAGACCATTGAAGTGTCCGTGATGCTCCGCTTCAACAAGAAGTGCTGGAACATTGCATAAAATCATCATGACAAGTGTACTTGTCATGTGGCAGCACTGAGCATGCCGCTATGTCATGAATGCTGTGCAAAGGTTCAACAAAAATGTACAAGGACTCATCCCAAGTCTGTTCATTTTCCTAAACATTATTCACGCTGTGAACATATGCATTCACATGTACTTCAAAGTACGATTGACTTTACTCAAGCAGTTGTGCTGCGCCAGCGTTTTCCATCATCAAATTCCGCCCCTTTATTGTTTTTTTTTTGCATCATTATGTACAAGAACTCGCTGAGTTGCGATATTAGCAGCTATTGAGCTTTTTCTGAAAATATGGATGCGATTTCAGCAACTTTCACTTGTTGTGGCACGGTTGCGAAAAGGTTAAGTTGCGAAATATGTTGGCATCTTTGGGAAAGACTGGCTACTCCGGAGTCACTCCACGCAGGTGCACTGAAGCTTTGAACTTGTAGTTATTTATATATATATATTTTAGTGTTTATTTGAATTCGGATAGCTCAACAGTACAGAAGTACAACTACAAAGTAGGCCTTGACAGATTATGCTAGCATAATTTTTCGCATAATTCCTACCAAAATCGGATAATCGCATAATTCGAGGCCAATTGCATACGAATCGCATAAAATTGAAATAATCCGCCTGTTCGCATCAAATTCCATACAGTTGTACATGTTCTGCAAGTACAAATACAAGTAGATAATAATAATAATATCTTTATTAGAATGACCCAGAGGCTTGTCGCCTATCAAGGGGTTCACCGCTTTGAAGGATGTACATGTACATGTATGAGCTAAAGTGAAAGTAGTGAAAAGTTGTGCAGCGTGAATGCGTAGGGGAGCACACAAGATGCACTAGGAAGGCATAGGTTTCCGACTCCCTTGATAACATGTCCGGTCCACTACAATCAGTGACCAAGGTGACGGTCGTAGCTAGGTCGGACGGTGCGTTGACCTCGTTGAACTTTTGCTACTACAGTACAACGCCCTCTAACGCCCTCTACAAAAAAATTCACCTGTTATTTTGCACAGAACCATCATATACATTGGCAGCATATGTGAGCATAATGCGGAATTATGATAACTTTTAGCATAAAAATAGCATAATTCTGCAATTTTTTCAGCAATGCGAAAAGCATAATTTCACGAAAATATTAGCATAATCTGTCAAGGCCTACTACAAAGAGTACCGAATAGAAGGCCCCGAGAACGGGAAACCAAAAAAATAAATAATAATAATTCCAAACAAGAGCCGATTTACTTGAAAAGGACAGAACGCCAGACATAGATCTATAGCAATTGATACTCATGATATGAGTTGTTGAGCCGCGAGTAGCTCGGGTAGACATACAGATGGGAAAGAGGGACTGGAAGCAAAACAGCCGGCTTAATACAGTAACAATGGAAAATGAATACAAGGAACAAAAATACTGATCGATATTGGAAAGAGGAAACATTGAGGTGTTTCTGATACTGCTAAAATGTCAGTTATGGACCCGGACAAGCTTGGACAGCTCGAAAAGCTTATTTCGCAAACTACACATATTAGTATGACCAATAGATAAAGAAGAATATGTAATTAAAAGAGGGGAAGGGTGTGATGAACTTGCTTGGGGCACAAAGGGTTGGGCAAGAGGATTTAGATTTGATCTGACTTCACTCATTGCACTGCTGCTGAGTTTGCAATAGGCCTTGACAGATTATGCTAATATTTTCGTGAAATTATGCTTTTCGCATTGCTGAAAAAATGCAGAATTATGCTATTTTCATTCTAAACGTTATCATATTATTCCGCATTATGCTCACATATGCTGCAAATGCATAATGGTTCTGTGCAAAATAACAGGGGAATTTTTATGTAGAGGGCGTTGTACTGTAGCAGCAAACGTTCAACGGGGTCAACACAGCGTCCGACCTAGCTACGACCATCACTGATTGTAGTGGACTGGACATGTTATCAAGGGAGTCGTAAACCTACAACTTCCTAGTGCATCTACTTGTACTTGTACTTGAAGAACATGTACAATTGTATGGAATTTGATGCGAACAGGCGGATTATTCCAATTTTATGCGATTCGTTTGCAATTTGCCTCAAATTGTGCGATTATTCGATTTTGGTAGGAATTATGCGAAAATTTATGCTAGCATAATCCGTCAACGTAGAGGCTTCCTAGTCTGAAGGCAGGCGAGATATGAGCGAGTACGAGTATGCATTTGTCCGACATGTAGTCGGTGAGTCGGTGACTTGACCTTTTGACCCCATGCCATGGGCCATGGGGCCAAGGTTGCGGAAAAGTTGCGAAATAGTTCGCGAAAATGAAGAAAGTTGCGAAAGTTGCGATTTCTTCCTAAACAACGAAAGGTTGCGAAAAAAGTGGCGAGCATCTTTGGGAAAGGGCTACTGACAATTCGACAAACATTGTATCTCGAACATAATTTTACCTAACCCCGAGCTTGCCGGAGATGAACTGGTGGACTGACCTGATGGATATGCATCGACGACACCATTTCTTCTCAGCAATGCCACCAGCTGGGGGCGTTTCAACCCCCTGTACCCTGATATGCCTTTCGCCAGTTCCTTCAGCTCTTCCACGGAAAGCACAGCCAAGTCAACCGTTGCTGCGAAAGACCGGTTCACCTGATCGGACTCCATGGTAGCTCGCACGAGAGAAAAAGTTAAAAATTGAAATAGATGTGTCAACTTCACCTTGGCAGGGACTCAAGCAAATGAAGTCCAAGGCGACACGGGGTTCTGCTTTGTACTCAACCAGTCGAAGCTCCCTGGGCCTTCAAGTTGTCTCTATTTCCCGCCTTTTTCATCGGATGTCACATGATGCTGCTTTCGGCAAACATACGGTCATGCACAAGATCTACGCATCGCAACAGCGAGCAACACCTGAGC